TTCCCTACTCTATTTCTGTCAATGAACTCTCGTTTGAATTTTATTGTTGTCATTTCCATCATGTTTTGTGAGTAAGTTTTTAATTGTATTTTCAAGGATAATGAGAGTTATGCATGAATCGTATGTTTAAATTGTTTTGAAATTTTTTATTTTACGATTTAGATTGAATGAATAGATTTTAAATGATATCAATTACGGTGGACACATGATTTATTAATCTTATAATTTAAATTTTCAAGAGATATGAAATTTAAATTATGAAATTATTCATTCACTTAAATGATCTCCGCATCGAAAGACGGTTGAATCATTTAGGAATCGTGATAACAATCTTAATGATTTTAGGAGTTCTAGTTTATTTGGAACATAGAGATCGGTAGACTTAAACTCCCGAGAAATGAGATGAGACTCGAGAGAGAAAATCTTTGTAAAATCATACTTGAATCCCATGAACCGTGACCAAAGTTGCTGAGATATATCCTTAGAGTCGATTCTTGCATAACCCAAAAAATTCGTTGAAAAATTCCAACGGATTGCGGTTGGAAATCCGTTGGAATTTTTCAATGGAAAAATCCGTTGAAATTCCGTTAAAAAAATTCAACGGTTATCTTACGGATGTCGATTTCCAATGACGTAATTCCAACGGATTTATCCGTTGGAAACCCGTTGAAAACACTAATTTCTAACAGAAATTTGGCCATTTTCCTTGACCACTTTTTTTTTTAGTGGAAAGATATTTCCATAGGTGATACCTCAGTTTTAGGATTCATTGCCTCCATTTGTAGGTCATCATCCTTCATAATCTCTATTTGATTCTCTTCTTCTTTATTTGAGCAATCCGCTTATATCTTTTCCGCGTGCTCGACGTCTTCGATTTGAGTCATTTCTTCTTCGTCCTCTCTATTAGGTTGTTCTTCTAATGCCTTATCAGCCACACACATAGGAGTATTTTCCACACATTCTCCCTCATGTTGTGGATGAATGAGCATCATGCATTCGAGGAAGAAGTATCAGACAGTTTGATCGGTCATCTCCTCTTCCAACAATTGGGCATATTGTTCGCCATTTATGAGTTTTTGACTGCGTTCTTTACACCACATCATCTTTGTCTCCACGAGAGATATTTTCCCTTTGACTTTTAATTATAACCTGGAAGATAAGTTTGTTGTATATACCGTCCAAAAATCCAAGAAAAGTATAGAGTTTACGCGTTTCGGTGTTTAGATCGGGATGAAGTTCTTTGATATTATCCCAAACGCCCTTGAACGTTACAACTTTCTTTTTAGACATGTCATTCCATGCCATTTGGAGCAGTTTGAGCTTCGAATGTATCCAAAGGTTAAAATAGAGACTTTACTGGATGTTCCTCTCCCTGAAATCATCGAGATTGAAGATGAACAAAGATCAGTAGTTACTATTAATGCTGATTACCCGTGGATTCCATCCAAATATTCTGGCTGTGGAGAATTTGGCCACAAGATTCAGCGATGCCTTTTAAAGGGTACATAGTCAACTGAAGCAGTTATAGTGCCGGGTAAAATGACCCTAAGCGAACAGTACCACATAATGAATCTACGCCATCACCTCCCAAAATAACTCAATCGTCCAACATAACCAGACTCCTAAACCCTGAAATCCAACCGCCTCTAGTCATCCCCGCCAATTCCCCACTTACGCTCGAAACGGTTCCCTCTATCAAGACTCCATGTCCGGACTCCTCTCAAAATATTCCTTCTCCACATGTACCAGGCTCTACGTCACCTACTTCCCCCACTTCTGCTCACCCTAGCCATCCAATCGAAAATATTATTTGTCCAAAATTCCGCTTTGATTCAGATGAAAAATTAGTGGCAGAAACATCAAGAATCCTACGAGTTTGTTCCTCTACTGCTACTATAGTCCAAGAAACTCATCGTGTTTTACGTTCTCATACCGTCAATATTCCTCTAGATCCCACTGATCTCACACTGGTCGGAAAAACTCGAAAGGAAAGAGACACACTTAACTGACTTTACCCATCCAACACCAACTATTTGCGAGACACGTTGCATACCACTTTTAGTTCTCACCTTATCCACCCTGAGTTATTACTTTACTTTCAATCTTTTTGGTTTACTGTTATAGTTTGTTATCGTGCCTTTGGCTAATCTCTTTTGTACGATTATATATATATATATATACATATATTATTTATCTTTAACAAAAAAAAATATTTGAACCTCATTATTTTCTAAAAAAATTATGATTTCTGAAAACTCCACATTTGGAGGGCTCGCACACAAATCTATTTGTATACTTACTAGACACAACTAGCTCTCGAGATAAAATAAACTAACAAGTAATATTAATGAACTCTATTATTTTATTTGATGTTAGATTCTTTGACCAAAGTCGAGAGAGACTTTGCACAAACATACCTTTTTCAAAACTCTATTTGCAAGATTCTATTTTTAAAATATTTTGAAAAATATGCCTTTTATATTATTATTATCTAAAATTAAAATTGATTAGTAAAATATTTAAGAACAATATAAAAGGACATATCGGAATTTTTGGTATATGAGATGGACTATCTTTGACACTGATATCTTTGACACTGATATTCGGTATTGAATCCGAGATTTAACAACTCCACATATCAAATATAGAAAATATATATAAAAAAAATATTGAACTACAATAAACATAATATTTCCAAACATCAGTTAACTTAATAAAAATAAATGATATACTAAAAAACAAATTAATAATGTAATTAAAGAAATATATATATATATATATATATATTATGAAAGATAAAAAAAATGAAATACTTTAGATTAAAATCAACAAAAAATAATTACTATGGAGATTTATATACCGCAATAACAAACTATAAAATAAACAAAAGGAATATTAAAACTTTTCGAAAAGAAATTAGAATCTTACAAATAAATAATATAATCAATATATAAAAAAAGGTAATATTGATATATCATTTATTAAAAAATTAACATGGTTTGCAAATATGGATTTTTTTTTAGCATAATTTGCAGGATTCGTTTTTAGCATAAATAAACATTATGTTTTGGTACATTTTGCAAGATGTCCTTGATTAAGATAATTTGTAAAAAAAAAAAACTTATTCCATACATAAAAAAAGGGTCTAGGTCTTTAATGGAACGTATATTCACTCTCCGACATATGAAGAAGTTGTTGTACAGAGATATTGTATTTCCTAGTTTGTTTCCTAGGTTTGACTTGTGCATGTATATAAACACTTGTTCACGAGGAATAAAGCAGAGCCGTTTTCTCAAAATCTGATCGTTCATTTATGTCATGGTATCAGAGTCTGCGACACCACCTCCTCTACTTTGATTTCTAGACCAAATGTCAACCGAAACCGACCACAGGCCCACCGAACCTGGAGCGCCTCCTCCACCCTCCGACCTGAACAACCCCTCGAACTCGACATCTGCGATGAACGGCAGGGACAATGTCGTTCCGATCCGACGAACGATCTCTCCTTACGATCTTACGCCAAGTGACAACCCGGGTTCAATTATCTGCCAACCATTGTTACGTGGAGATAATTACAATGAATGGGCAATTAACATCCGACAAGCACTCAAATCTCGCAAGAAATTTGGTTTCGTTGATGGAACTATTCCACAACCTGGTGCTGAATCTATGGACTTTGAAGATTGGGATACAAATAATGCGCTCATCGTCTCGTGGATCAAGAACACGATTGAACCGCACTTACGCTCAGACGTGGTTCATCGTGAATTCGCAACCGATCTCTGGATGTATTTGAAACGAAGGTTCGGGAAAACTACTGCTCCTCGTCTTCTCAAACTTTGAAGTGATCTCGCCAATTGTCGTCAACACGGGATGACAATTGAGGCTTATTTCGGCAAACTCACCAAACTTTGGGATGATTTGGTGAATTTCCGCACACTCAAAGTTTTCAAATGTGGGCAGTGTTTGATAAGAAATAATCTTGTACGTGTCTGAAGTTGGAGGCGGAAGACTCGGACAAAAGGAGGAGTTGATCAAGTCGAGAGACCCGATCAAAGATCGTTTTTAATTTCCAGATTTTTCTGCAATTTCAGTTGTGATTTGTTTTCAATTTGCTATTTGTTCGTATTTTGTTTGTCTATTTAAAGTGGAAGTAACGCTAATAAAATTTGAAGCTTTTCCATTACTCTCTCTCTCTCTCTCATATACTCTGTTTTTCGGGGTTTCTTCTTAAACAGAGCCACGAAGCTCTGTGATTGAGGGATTTCGGGAGAAGCTTCTGATAACAGTGTTCCTGTGACATCGTTGTTGTGCTGGAAAAGGAGCGAAACGAGGACCGGTTGTACGAGTTTCTTCTCGGTCTCGATGAGACCCGCTATGCCACAGTTCGGTCTAATCTCCTCTCTCGACAGACCATACCCACGCTCGAAGAGGCATATAACATGATTATCCAAGATGAGGATACACATTAGGTATCATACGCACGGGAAGACAGACCCGAAGTGACTGCTTTCACAGTCCGTTCTGATCAGAAGGCCCGACCGAAATCTGTCACGGCCGACAAAGACGCAACGATGCTCTGCTCGAATTGTGGTCGTGCCGGCCACGTTGCTGAAAATTGCTTCAAGCTGATCGGCTTCCCAGACTGGTGGGGAGACAGACCTCGGAACAGAGCTGGTCGTGGCAGGGGACACACTGCACCGATGCACACTGGTGATCGTAGCAACATTCCAGCTGCCCGAGCTAATGCGACCACGGTTGTTGCTAACTCGGCACTGGTTTCTGTTCCGTCTCCGGTCATCGAGGGTGACAAGCAATTTGTTTCCGGCATCACTGAGGAGCAATGGAAGTCACTGATGACAATGGTAAATGCCAACAGGTTTGACATTCCAGACCCAATGACTGGTAAGCGTTCTCACATTTCTTGGATTCTGGATTCTGGATGTTCTCAACACATGACAGGAGATAAATCTGTGCTTTTTTATTTGTCTCCGATGCCACCGTGTTATGTCATCTTACCGGAAAACCGTCAGACAGTTTCAATTGAGTTGGGCTCGATTTCTCTCGGCAATTGTCACCGATTGTCACGGGTTTTATACGTACATGGGCTTCAATGCAACTTGATATCTGTCTCCCAACTCTTGGCTGATTCTGCGTGTTATGTGACGTTCGCTCACAATTTCTGTCTAATTTAGGACCGCACTACAAGGATGTCGATTGAAGCGGGTGAGTTGATTGGAGGACTCTATTATTACAGCAGTACATAGTTTAGCAGCAACATGGGTGATTGATTCTCCGTCTTTGTGGCATCAGCGATTGGGATATCCGTCAGCCAAAGTTCTAGCGAAAATTCCGTGTATTGATTTTTCAGCTGAAAGTTTGATTGATAATAAGCAATGCGATATATGCTTGCATGCGAAACAGACAAGGGATTCTTTTCCATTGAGTATGAATAAAAGTGTTGCGATTTTTGATTTAGTTCATTGCGACATTTGAGGACCATATCGCACACCATCTTTCTCGGATGCTCGGTTTTTCTTGACCATCGTTGACGATTACTCACGAGGAACTTGGATCTATTTGCTCAAAGGGAAATATGAAACGTCTGTGCATCTCCGAAATTTTCTAACTCTTGTTGAATGCCAATTCAACAAGAAAGTCCGTCGAGTTCGCTCGGATAATGGCTCGGAGTTCATTGCTATGCGAAAGCATTTTGCCCAACACGGGATTCTACACGAAACTTCGTGTGTTGGAAAACCACAGCAAAACGGTCACGTCGAGCGCAAGCATCGACACATATCGAATATTGCTAGAGCTTTGATGTTCCAAGCAAATTTACCGATTGAATTTTGGGGAGAAAGTATACTCACAGCGGGATATCTCATCAATAGAACTCCGACAACACTCCTTAATGGACGGACCCCATACGAGTTACTGCACGACCAGCCTCCTCGCTATGAACACCTTCGGACATTCGGTAGTCTCTGTTTTGTACATAATCAGAACAGAGCAAGGGATAAATTCGCGACACGCGGATTTCGTTCAGTCTTTGTGGGATATCCTTCGGGAATGAAAGGATGGCGCGTATACAATCTTGAAACGAAACAGTTTCTGGTGTCTCGCGATGTGGTTTTCTTCGAAAATCGATTCCCCTATATTGAAGATAATCCTTCTTCGACGCCAGTTTCGGTTCTACCTCAGCCATCGGCTCCTTTGTTCCACGAGGAGTCTGAAGATGTCTTCCCACGAAACATCACCACGCGATGTTGTCTCTTAACAGATGGACGAAAGTGTCTTTCTTGCCACCTCAGTGTCGATGTTCACTGCTGAAAATAGTACTGTAACCATGCCTACTGTCCAGATTGCTCCCATTGATCCTCCAGACGACACTGCTACTAATATTGACGGAACTCAGTTTCCCCTACGCACTGATCAGCAAAACCTTGGAAGTAGGGGTGGCCATTTCGGTTATTTGCTTAATAACCGAATGGTTGAGGAAGTTGAATAACCGTTCGGGTTCGGTTCGGTTCGGTTAATAACCGAATAACCGTGGTTAACCGAACGGTTATTGAATTTTTTTAATATTTTAATTTTTATCCTCATTATTATTAGTATTAGTTTTTTTATACTCCACTTTTAACCTTATATATTTCACCCAATAAACCATAAAATGTAATGTTTTTTTAATTTTTATCCTAATTATTGAAGTTTTTAGATTTTTTTATAATTTTATTTTAAATGATTAATCATTTTGTGCATTTACTTAGATAGATATTTTGAAATTTATATAGGATTAATATATTTTTTTAAAAAATATATCATAACCGAACCGAACCGATCTAAAACCGAACCGAATAAACCGGAAAATATAACCGTTTGGTTATAATTTTATTATGCAAAAACCGGACCGAACCGAACCGAAACTGAACTGAACCGAACCGATTAAATCTATATAACCGTTTGGGTATGATTTTTTTATAACCGAAATAACCGAACCCGAAATAACCGAACCGAAAACCGAACCGAAACCCGAAATGGCCACCCCTACTTGGAAGAGAGCATAGACGAAAATTTGACAATGTCTTGCTGAGGAACATCGTTACGAATTCTGTCCAAGTTGCGCTCCTAGATGCTCCTCTGCACTCGCTTGATAAATATGTCTCATACACAAAGATTCTCCCTCGACATATGGCATTTTTTACTGCAATAAGCTCTGAGATAGAACCTCGAAATTACAAAGAGGTTGCTGGTGATGAGCGCTGGTGTCGGGCAATGCAAGCTGAACTGTATGCACTTACCAAAAATCAAACTTGGACATTAGAACCATTGCCTCCGACGAAGAAAGCAATAGGGTGCAAATGGATCTTCAAAATCAAGTACAAATCCGATGGCTCTATCGAACGACGGAAAGCCCGTTTGGTCATTCTAGGGAATAACCAAACAGAGGGCATTGACTACGACGAAACATTTGCTCCAGCCGCCAAGATGGTAACGGTACACACTTTTCTTGCCATTGCATCTGCTCGCAATTGGGACGTTCACCAAATGGACGTCCACAATCTGTTTCTACACGGTGATCTCACCGATGAGGTGTACATGAAACCGCCTCTGGGTTTCTCGACATGATCATCGAATTTGGTTTGTCGTTTGCGAAAATCACTCTATGGTCTCAAGCAAGCACCCCGCTGTTGGTTTGCAAAGCTCGGATCGGCATTACGGGATTATTGCTTTGTCCAATCTCAATCGGATCATTCATTATTTGTGTACAACAAAGCTGGGAATCAGATACATGTTCTGGTCTACGTGGACGATCTCTTAGTCACCGGCAACAACTTGGCTGCGGTGACTGTCTTTAAAGAATATCTCGGCCAGTGCTTCCACATGAAGGACCTCAGAGAACTTAAATATTTCCTCGGCATCGAAGTTGCTCGAGGACCTTTGGGTATATCGTTGTGCCAACGCAAATCATTCTCACTGAATCTGGACTTCTCGGCTCCAAACCTGTGACATTCCCAATGGAGCAAAATCATAAACTTGGTTTGTCAACCACCGAGCTCCTCACTGATCCGGAACCGTATCGGCGACTCGTCGGACGTCTCGTACATTTGCTTGCAACGAGGCCCGACATCACCTACTCGGTTCATATTTTGTCTCAATTTATGCAGGAACCCTGAACAGCTCATTGGGAGGCAGCCCTACGAGTTGTGCGGTATCTCAAACTACGCCCAGCCCAAGGGATACTGTTGCGAGCGGATTCTGATCTCCGTCTTTACGGCTGGTGTGACTCCGATTGGGCTGGTTGCCCAACCTCTCGCAAATCTCTGACCGGATGGCTGATACATCTCGGCAACTCACCTATTTCATGGAAGTCGAAGAAGCAACACACGATCTCTCTTTCTTCGTCGGAAGCAGAGTATCGTGCAATGGCATCAACGACCTCCGAACTCTTGTCGCTTAAAGGATTACTCGTGTCCCTTTGAGTTAATCATGATGCCCCGATGGCTCTACATTGTGACAGCCAATCGGCAATTCAAATTGCCTCCAACGACGTATTCCATGAACGCACGAAGCATATCGAGATAGATTGTCATTTCATCCGCCATCATCTCTCGGCCTGCAACATCATCACCCCTCACGTCTCGACCGTCCAACAGCTAGCAGATATCTTTACCTAAACATTGGGAAAGAAGGAGTTCGGTGTTTTCCTCGACAAGTTAGGCATCTACGACATATATGCTCCAACTTGAGGGGGGTAATGGAACGTATATTGACTCTCCGACATATCAGGAAGTTGTTGTATAGAGATATTATATTTCCTAGTTTGTTTCCTAGGTTTGACTTGTAGATGTTGTATATAAACACTTGTTCACGAGGAATAAAGCAGAGCCGTTTTCTCAAACTCTGATCGTTCGTTTATGTCAGTCTTCGTCACCACTGCGAGAGCAGTTCTGATTTGGATGAAAGCAAAGGTCTTGTCCCCACGTCACACGACCACCTTTGATTTCATTGGTCGAACGTTACGTTTTTTAATGTCTTCTTAATTACCCTCGCTATTGGTTCATTCGCATATCGTCCTAAACAACGGTTCACTAATAATTGTACGTTCATTTTTGGGACAAAGACCTAAAGAAATCAACCTACTCCATCTAATCCGCTGCGTTATAGTCGTGGTAGAAGGTTTCAGTAATGACCTTTGATATGGAGCACAGTCGTTATTCGCATTACAATAGCATCAATAAATGCCACTTGAATTATATATACCACTAGAATTATAACCCTAACCCTAACCCTAATTTGAGTTAGGTCGATAATCTTTCACTTTCCCTTAGAGTCATAGATTTTAGATTTGTTTTGTCATGGTGTTGAATTATTTGCCCATTTGAATGGTTAAATGGAAGAAACTTGAGGTAACACAAACATTGTACAATTTTCAAATTTCCACGTCTTAGGTTAGATTGGATTGGATAAATGATGCTTAATCATTCAACTAACATGATTGATTTGATTTCTTCCTAAATGTTTATGTAATCGATGTAGGAAGAAAACTTTAATGACACGTGCCATAATTAAAGAGGAAGAAGATATATAAGGTTTAAGATTTATTAGACTTTTGTTAGCGTGTGTTGGGCCTTCGGCCCATTTTGGTGAAGAGAGGAACTTGGCCCATTGGCCAAATGCGGAGCGTTTTGCATTAGGGTGAATACCCTAATACTCAGATGTTTCGAGACTTGGAGGTGTACGCACGTGGCTCGAGAAAAGGAAGAAAACAGGGGGAAGGAAGAGGCTGAAGAGAGACAGCGAAGGCGGAGGAGTTTCCCAGCGACGGCGAGACTCGGACCTCCGGCGATCGGCAAAGGCGAGTCGTGGTAAGGGTCGGTAAGGGTCTTGTGCTCTTTCTTCTTGGTTGTTTCCGGACTGATTTAGATCCGACGAGTCTCCGTGTTGTGGAGCACCGTCGGCTCTTGTTATCCGGTGGTTTCCTTCGGTCTTCTAGTGGATTCGCCGCCACCGTCCGGCCGAGATGTAGGCCCGAGCTTGCTCGGTAACCGAACTCGTTAAAACCGCTGTGTCTTCTTTCGGTTCTTGAACACACGAGCGTCAGAGAGAACCGTGAGGGCCGATACACACTTCACAAAGTGGTATCAGAGCCTGGTTACGATCCAGGGATGTGAAATCGCCGGTCTGATTGGTGGCGGATAAGGCGACAAGGCCACGAGGAGTCATCGACGGGAACTTCATCAAGTTCAAGGGCAGCGACATGCGACTAACTCCGCGACATCAGGTAAGTGAGGTAAGTAAGGTAAGTTGCGTTTTAAATTCTGACGAAAGTCGAGGGATCGACGAAAGTCGATCGGTGCTGGAAACGGCGAATCCCACTAGTGTTTATTGTTTGTTTTATTCCTTGTGCTCGTTCCTTTCTCCACCAAGGTGGAGATTGTTGGGCCTTCGGCCCATTTTGGTGAAGAGAGGAACTTGGCCCATTGGCCAAATGCGGAGCGTTTTGCATTAGGGTGAATACCCTAATACTCAGATGTTTCGAGACTTGGAGGTGTACGCACGTGGCTCGAGAAAAGGAAGAAAACAGGGGGAAGGAAGAGGCTGAAGAGAGACAGCGAAGGCGGAGGAGTTTCCCAGCGACGGCGAGACTCGGACCTCCGGCGATCGGCAAAGGCGAGTCGTGGTAAGGGTCGGTAAGGGTCTTGTGCTCTTTCTTCTTGGTTGTTTCCGGACTGATTTAGATCCGACGAGTCTCCGTGTTGTGGAGCACCGTCGGCTCTTGTTATCCGGTGGTTTCCTTCGGTCTTCTAGTGGATTCGCCGGCACCGTCCGGCCGAGATGTAGGCCCGAGCTTGCTCGGTAACCGAACTCGTTAAAACCGCTGTGTCTTCTTTCGGTTCTTGAACACACGAGCGTCGGAGAGAACCGTGAGGGCCGATACACACTTCACAAAGTGGTATCAGAGCTCCGGTTACGATCCAGGGATGTGAAATCGCCGGTCAGGCGAGGTAAGTTACGGTTCTGTGGTTTCGGATTTGTCTGGTGAGCGATTTGATGCTCTGTTGAGGTGTTTCAGTCAAAGACGGAGGCAGATCGGCGGCGGTGGGAGCAGATCTGAGAGTCTCGGAGTCGCCGGTGGACAGATCCGTCGAGGTGGAGCGTCTGAGATCAAGACTCGGTGAAGACAGATTCGATCGGTTAATCAGGTAAGGTTTCTGACTCGGGTTCTTTATTTTTCCGCGATTTCTCCGATTTGAGTCCGAGTTTCAAAGGAAACTCGGTGAACTCGGCGGAGAAATGCTCGATTCCGGTGAAACTCGGTCCGAACTCGTCCGAGTTAGGGCTGAGTGGTGGGATCGGGTGAGTCAACGTCCGAGTCAACTCGGCAGACTCGGCGGCTAGGGTTTCCGAAATTAGGGTTTCGGATTAAACCCGGTTTATGCCGGTTTAATCGATCC